TTTATTTAAATATTTTAAAATTTAAAAAATATAGATCATAAGTATATTTTTGTTAATTTTCCAGGCAAATTTGCCTGAAAATGGTCTACAGTTTAAGGGATAACAAATTTTTTTTTAACAAAATAAAATTTAAACATTTAAAAATTAATTTTTTAATAATTATCTTATCAAATTGAATTAAATTTTTTGTTACTATTATAAAAATCATTGAATTTTAACATACTAAAGTCTTAAAATTTGAACATAACCCTGATTTTTATTAATTTTTAACTGAACCCAATCAATTTTTTTTGAAAAGTTCAACCTCTCAGTGAGATGTAGATGCGGGAAAATTTTTGTTTGGCACTGTACACCTCTCACGAATTACAAAATTCTGGCTAGAATTTTTACTATGATTTATTTAATATATTTATGTTTAAAAGTATATAGTTATATAACAAAAATCTTAATATAAATGTAAGCAAAGATCATTACGTATATATATACGTATAGTTTAGAGGCATGCTTATATGTGTTATGCACGAGAAGCATGTTCAAGAACCCACACCCTTCACCTCACTTAATAAAACTTACAGAATACATAAGACAAAGGCATAAGACAAAGGTATAATAGATTTCAAATTAATACTTATTAAAACTTTTGTATATATGTTTTTGTAAAATTCTACATTTAATGTCAAAGTATATTTCAAAACTTTGAAATTGTTACCGAAATAACGATAACACAATAACGTTCCGCCACAAAACGGTTAAATCATGTCATGTGATATTAATGCTTAGTCTGCATATTATATTAATGATAAACGAATTTGCTTTTATCGTTATCCTCATCCAACCTATTATTAAGTTTTTTTTTATAATCATGAAATCTCGAGAAGCTCTATTTAAAGAATCAACTTTCGAGCTTATTGTACCTAGTGGTATAGTAAACTGTAACGAAGAGGAATTTGAGAACATTTTTACTTCAACAGAAAGAACTTTAGCATTTTATGGTATATAATTTATTTATTCAATCGTATTCTGCTTTAGATCCGAATGTGCATCTATCAAACATTGTCAATTTTTTTTTCTTAAAAAAAAGACGAACTTCTCTACTTTTATCTTAATATCTGCCTTCCCAGTGATTCTGGCATTACTGATAAAGAAGCAGCTAAATTGTTTTTCCAACAACTTGAAATATTTGTTGAAGCATTAATAATCGATGCAAATGCATCTACTTCGAATTCAACCCCTACTGCACCTCCACCGGTATATCGTTTACCTCCGGGTAAATCTCGTGAAACTTCTACAGCGACTTCACCTTCAATACCAAGCACTCCTTTACCACCACTTATGGACAAGAAACCATCTAAACCACCAGATGGTACAATAATATATTCTTATTTATATAATCATAAATCAAAGGATTATCAAATGTTGGTTTTTGAAAAGAATGGAACCTGGTCATGTTTAGTACAATTGATGGTCCCTGTAGGTAAGTCCAGAGATTTTGTTTTTAATATTAATTTATTGTTTAATTTATTTCAAATTTGTAGTGTTCTATAACAATGTTTTGTTGAAAAAAAAAAAAATCGAGTTCAAAATATTTTATTATTTTATATATAATTAGCATATGTAAAAACTCGTGCTCAAATTCCGGCATTAGCTCTTAATACGACTATTACGCAAACTCATCTATCAGTAGAATTAAAAGATATTGGATTGTCATATGATTCTGAAACATCTAATGGCGAGAATTTTGGCATGACGAATTTATTAGAAGGCTTAAATTATGGTTAGTCGAGAAAGTTTTAAACAATTGATTCTTTTCGACAATCATTCAATTATATTCATTTAAAAAAAAAAAACAAAAAAATTGTTAAAAAAAATGATTGAAGATCCATCGTTCGAATCACCTACAACGAGTCTACTACTCCCAACAAATCGTATATTCAATATTGAACCTAGACGTTTATCTTTAAATTTAAGCACGAATTCTTCTCCTCCATTGAAACATAATATACGTAAAATTTTATCTATAAAGTCAGCACTCAATGTACGCATGCGGACTACTAGTGTATCTCCTTTAGATCATGTGTTAATGATGTCAGTCGAATTGGAGAATAACACAGATGCAGGTTGCTCATTTTCTGTTGAGGAAGTTAAAGTAGATATTGATCATGGCTTTGTGACAAAATACGATTGGGAATCAGCAAATAAACAATTGGTAATAATCTTTAAGTTAATTATTATAAATATTTTTGAAAAGCATTAAAAAAGGTGATACTTACAGATTTAGATAATGGTCATGGCAGGAAAAATTTCCAATAACGCTTCATCCTGTCGACCAAGTTACGTTTTTATATAGCATTACGATTTTAGATGATTTATCACTTCCAAAATTGTCTTCACAATTTTGTCCTACGCCACAACCTCACTCTAGACCAACATCTCGTCGTACTTCTGTATCATCAGTATTTTCGATCACTTCTGGTTCACCTATTACGGAAGAGCGTCAACGTCATGTCTCAATCGTTGCAAGAGGATCACCCATTCTTAATGGAACAAAGTGTCGGAGCATTGAGTCAAGATGGAATTGCATGCTAGATTTAACTAATCTACGAAGACGTGAAGATTCTTTACCATTACCCATGCCAAATCAAAAACCTACATCACAAAACGCCAAAACAGGACAATCTAGGGGCAACTCTTTATTCTCACCCACTGGTTCATCAACACCAACCAATTTCAAAGGGTTCCATTCATCATCAGATTCTAACGGAAAAGTTAAAAAACCAGCAAACCTTCCCACCATACCTGACCATAGCACGGTTGGTAATGGTATTCTCACTGGAGGTAGAGCACCTATGACATCCAGACCTATGGAGATGGAAGTTGGAGATGGAGTTGTTGTTTCCTTTTTAGGTAAATACATTAAGTCATATTTAATGACGTATATTTAATGTATTATATATAACCAATATTAATAATATTTTTATTATTTCAGTCAGCTCAAAAATTATTTTAGGTAAGCTGTTCACAATACATATTTTCTTTGTCAATAGATCGAAGCACGTTAGGAGATTTACGGTGCTAGTACCCAATAAAAAACGACCAAATGAGAAGTAAGATTAAATGCATATTGTTATTTATGTATATCAATCATATTTAGCTTTTATATTTATTATCACTGATGACTTTTTAATCATTTACAGGGCTATCAAACGCATATCTGTACCACCAGCGACAGTAAAACTGCAAAATTCAGCCGATCTACTTATAAGTAGTAGTCAATCAAATCAATTAGAACCATTTATGGATGAATCAGGTAATTGATTATTTTTAAAGAAAATTATTAATTTTAATAGTATTAAAAACATATATTTTATGTACTTTATACAGATTTCATAAGAAAATTCCTAGAACATGAAACACCAGATTCTGATATTATTTGTTTAGAAAATAATGTTCGAATCGGGTATGAACATAAATTTTATGATTTGTTTTTTACATTATCTTAATCATTTATTTATATTAATGATATTAATGATATTAATGGTATTAAACTTAGACCATTGAATCCTTCAACGTGTGAATCAGTTGCATTACATTTCATTGCTATTAAAGAATCAATGCATATTATTGATTTAGTTCAACTTGTGGATAATGATACTGGTTTCATAACAAATCTTAGAAATGTTTTAGAAATTTATGTTACAAAGCCAGTTACATCCAAAAAGGGTAAAAAAATTATTGATATTTCAAGTGGTGGTATGGAAGTACAAGTTAATGGGTAATTGTGTGTGGTGTTATCAAATTATTATTATTTTTTTTGATATTTTTAAATAGGAAGTTCTTGATTGCAAATACGGTTTTGTGTTTGATTATAAGGTATAGTTTGACCTACAAATTAATGTAATCAAGGCATTCATTATTTTTTCTATGAATTTTTCATGTAAAATAAAGTGTCATTAAAAAATACAAAATAGGTTTTACTACAATTTACATAATCATTTAATATTTATATAAATGAAAAAACGTTTATCGTTGTCAAGTTCGATTTTAAAAAAAGATTAACTTCATGTTACTTATATTTCTTTTTTGTACATAAAATGATTGATAATTTCGATCATCACTGCTTTTAAAACTACCAAGTTTGCGGAATAATTGATTTCAAATATTAATATGGAAGATATGTAATTCCTTAACTGTTAAATTAAATTCCTTAAACTAAATTACGATTAGACAAAAAAATTTTTACAGTTGATTTTAAACCACTAAAACTTTCATTTGGTATATGCTAGAATCATAACTATACTTAAATTAATCTTTATTTTAAATTTGGACTTTTTTTAGAATGCTTTAAAATTTAATTCTAAAGTATGTTCTTATACTAAATTTAGTACCTTACTACGTAATCATTTTTACTGCTTTACTTTAGAGATTAATATATATCATACAATGCTTTTTTTTAAAAAACCACAACTTTGTTTTTAATAATACATATTATTATTGTTGTTATTATTATTATTACTACGTATGATCTCATACATATTATGTACAATATTGCATATATGTACGTACGTATTATTTATTAAGATTTTTTAGAAATGTATAAACATTTTGAATACAAAAAATAATGATAAAAATTTTTAGAAACAAAGGTACGTACACATAATATGTACATATAACTTTTTCAAATTACACAAATATTATTAAGCGAAAGTATAATAATATTTATAAAATATTAAAGAAATACAAACCAGTTAAACTATCAGATACAAATAAATAAATAAAATAAATAAATCTGTGATTCTAAATTTTATATTGCAATATCGATACGTATCAATATCGATATTGATATTGATACTATGTATATATGATTTCAAATATCCCAATTGCAATACGTAAAAAAAAAACTTCTTTTTTTTCTTTATAATAAATATAGGGAATTGATATTTTTATGTCTATGTTGAATTTCACCTGACAAAAAAAAAAAAAAATCTCCACGTAATATCTCAAAACATCATACCGATACGTATAAGGTCACTATTTCGGCTTATAAAATTTACCGTGAAAAAAATTATCGCTATTGCATGAATAAAAATAAATTCCCTTGGAAATAATATCCCTTATTATAGCATAGTGCATGGCAAGATCCGACATAAGTAGCGAAAATAGGCATGAAAATATCTTTTCTAAAAATGGATTACTTTTATATCAAACATAAAGAAAACTAATTGTCACATATTATATAGCATATACTACAGTGTGTGACAGTTAAACATTATTAAACCTACGTCATTACCCGACTTTTTGCAACATTAGAGGCATGAGGCCAAGATTAACATTATGCGTTTCAAGAAATGTTTTAAAACTTTGTACGTAGCGCATTCTTGTAACAACATTTGTAATTTTAATGTAACAAAATCACAAATGGTTAACGCGCTAAGTATACTCATGTATTATACATGAACAAATTAGTTTTAACATGACGAGACCATAGTAGGGTGATGAGATCAGTTTTGTTAATCAACCTAATCGACCTATGATGTATTTAGGATAATTGTTATTTAATTGGTTTATCTATTGCTAAGAATAAAATTCAACCATGTTTTGTTTAAATGATAATCGTGATTCTCTTTATAATAAATAAAAAACAAATTACTCACTAAAAAATTTATAAAAAAGACAATATTGAACTTGACCAGTAAATCATGCCTATGTCGATTAGTCTTAATAGTTCTATATATAGAAGGATAGTAATCAAAATGAGTCGGGGTTTTCCCTTGGCTTCACCAAATAGGAGTAATTACCATCTTAAGGATTAGTTTACTAGATTCGTTAAACTTAATACAGATCTTGCATCAACTCACCAATCATTTTAACATAAAGTGATTTTGGACTCTGGATCCACGTAAAGAAATTCGAATCAACTGATGTTTAGAAACAGTTTTTTTAGCGCGGTAGATATTATTCCGTTTTTGAAGATCAAATGGATTAATTATAAATCAACTCGTCACTACTCTTAATCAATGACTAATAGTTATTAATGATCTGTAGAAGACTACTTAACATATCTTGGTATACATCAGTCTAGTATCTTGGATCACTTGGAAAATTAATTCATAAACTATATTTATAGTCATATGCATAACTATTCGTAATGATCTCACATTAGGCACTTACTCAAGAGCATAAAACTGATTCTGAATAATTAGATATTCATGACCATTAATAGTATTATTAGGAATGTTTTACCGTCAAAAAAAAAGACTAAATAAGTCTAATTTATAAATTTATAAATTATTATACGTATAAATTATATAAAAATTTACATTATATCAAAATTACGTAATTAAGCATTGCATTGAGAATTGAGAAATAACGAGTGTTAACAGATATATTCACAACGGATAATATTTGTTACACCTTTCACTGCAATTAAATACCAACCATCCATCAAAATAAACAGATGAAACAGATAATAATACATGCGACCAATCTTACACACAATTAAGATTAGTAAATTTTCGATCAAGGATAGTAACATGTGACTAAGCTTTCGAAGTACTATTTTTAAAATAACAGATAATGTGTTTTTTTGAATTCGAAAGTTATATATGCATAATAAATATGTGACCAATGCTTTTTTAAGAAATCAACTATAGTATTTAATAATGTTGAAATCTAACTACCTATCATAGACAAAGATCTGATACTAATATCTTTATTATCCCTATTATTTATTTTACGTATCAGCATGTACGAATAAACTAAAACCGTATGCAGAGTATATAGCATAAATCATACAGTATATATATATATATAAGGGATGGCTAAATCTACTTTTTTTTTCTCTTTGAGAATTTGTCTTTCATTTCTTTCTTCCTTATCCTCTCCTTAAAGGGTATGAATCTTTGAGATCAATAAAATCCAAAGATCAATAAAACCATACTTCCCTTTACAATATCAATATTCGCCTTTCCAGTAACCATATACACCTTATTATTTCGATTCTACTGGTAACCAAATACATCTATTATCTCGATTCTACCGGTAATCAAATATACCTATTATTTCGATTCTACCTTTTCTATCCACAACACCTATTATTTCGATTCTATCTTTTCTATCAACATTTTATTATCGTAAAAAATTTTAACTGGAAGGAAACATTATAACAAACACCAAAGTCGAAATCACCTAGTCAAAATCACCTAGTCAAAATCACCTAGTTGAAGTCACCTAGTCAAAATCACCTAGTTGAAATTACCTGTCTAAATTACCTAGTCGAAATTACCAGCCTAAATGAAAAGTTTAACTCCCAAACAAAATATAACCGTCTTTAACAACATGTTTACGAACTTTAAAGATCAATTTGCAATTAACACGTATCGTGTTGACATATCAACCTCCTCTTTACACGAATTTGAACCATGGGAAAATTTATTGTTTCATTTATTGGTTGCCCTAAGTCTTGCCTTAATCGTCTATGCTGCTTGCGAGCCATACGTCGCAGGTGATGTACTAGCAATAAACTTGTTGGATTATAATCCAATACATTATTAAAGACATTGTGATATATTCTCTTTTATTACTTATTCGTATCAATAGAATTCATTTTTTGTAAATACTCTTTTGATCCTTTCACTAAAATCATCATTAGTTTGATTAATTTAGAATTGGTGAAAATAGATTCGGACAATTCATTCACTTATTCATTTATAATAAATTTCTTTTTAATAGAATATTAGGAATTTTATTATGTTTAGGTTTAAAAAAATATAAATATATATAAAATATGACGTACATATGGAATTTAAATATGTAAAATGTATTAAGTAAAATATATCCAACGTTATTAATAGACTTTTAATGGCAAGATTTAAATTCAAAAAATAAAAGTAAAATGATTTTTTCTTTATAGTAATTTATCACTCTATAAACTTTTTAGTTGATAAAGAATTAAATACATATAGTTTAACAACATATCAAATATCTGATATACGTATGTATACTTGACCTCATATATCAGATATTGATATTGATATAATAATTACGTACCTACGTAGTAAATTCAGTATCAATATGTATTAGGAAAGAGACGTTTCAAAGACTGTTACATTTCACATTTTTATATGCTATATATCGCTATTGGTGAGTGATGAAACGCGTTTTCGCCTATATCATCTTGCCGCTACGGTAATTACAATCATGTGAGATATACAATTATATAACCGGTAACGGTACTTGACCGTAATTAAACTTATTCATCAAAATCAGGATAAATTTGGCAAAGACTTGCTATCATCGTTAATTAATTATAAATGATAAGGTTTATTAATATGAAAATAATCCTCTTCCGTAATAGTTAAATTTGTCTAATAATAATGTTAATTAAATAATATTATTAAGTTAAAAAATGAAATTGTAGATGCGAACGTACCTTTTTTTTTTCTTGATGTACATCCATATCTATCTTTCGGGTACCAACCATTATGTGGCAGAATTACCTACATAGTATATCAAATCATTAAGGTTTCATACGCATCAATTGGTACGTATAGATATCATGTAACACTGCCTACGTCAATTTATATATTTAAACCTCTTAATCGATATACGAAAGGTTTTTTTTTGTGCATGTTTATGTACCTTTCTGTTAACCTTAAAATCTTCTTATTTTCGTTTTTTTTTTGTTTTACGGAATTCAAAGGATTCATTATTAATTATATTCAATTTCTGAACCTTGTCTTCTCGTTATCTTGGTTAAATTTTAAAAAGAGTGGGGGCGGTCGGTAACTTTATTTCTTATTAAAAGTCTATAATTCAGCTGAAGAACAATCTTGAATAATGATCTTAAAATTATTAATTTTTGGTGTAGTGTTGTTATTAAAGGTATTCTTTTTTTTTTATGAAATGTTTATTTCTTTGTTTGTGTATGCCATATTAATTTTTCCCCTTTAAATCAAATAATTACACGATCCTATTCCTTTTAATCTATATAAAAGATCTCTTCAACTCTTGGTCAATCACATTTATCCGCAAAATCTTCAAGTACAAGTACGTTAAATTTGCCAAGTTCAATATCTTCAAATCCTATAAGTCCAACAAGTGCGTCAAATCCTACAAATTCGACAAATTCGACAAATTCAACAAATCCAATAAACTCTTCAAATTCAAATTTTACTGTACCATCTGTAATTGTTCAATATAATACGGTCGATGTACCTTCAAATAATGGGACATGGTCTATTTGTTCAAGTAACGCTACGAAATATATCAGTATGATTTTTTTTCTTTTTCAAATTTTTATACAAAGTTTTTTTTTTTTTGGTTTTCATTTGTTAACTTTCGGAATTTCTTAATTTCATGTAATAGGTTACAGTGTAAAAGTTGTCGACAACAGTTTTCCAATAACCCCTGGATATGGGAACTCAACGTCTGGCCTTTCATCCCCTCTCGTTACTGCACCTGTTGTTGGTATAATTGCTCAAATCCGATACGCAAATTCACTCAAATTCATTCCTTCATTATCTTGCTATCAACAATTTGTTATTTCCTGTGATCAAGATACTGGGAATATACCGATTCAAGATAATGAAAATTATTGTTTGGATATAATAAACTCTACTCCTAATTCACAAAGAGTCAACGTTACTATATCTTTTACACAAAGTTCTGTCTTTGAAGGTGGTGGTTTTACTAGTGCTAATCAACCTGGTGGAAATATTGAACCTTCAGCTTCAACAAGTCTGGCAAATATTCCAATGTCATACATATGGGTTGAATGGTGCGTTTGCACAATGGTGTTAGTAATGTTGTTAATGTAATATATATAAAACTCTAGAATTAATATACTGTAAATTTATATTATATAAATTTGTATATTATTATTATTATTAGTATTCTAATCTATTTATTTCCTATGAACTGTTTTTTTTTTTTTTGATGATTTCTTATTGTTAAAAAAAAAAACAATGTTTGTAGTTTAAACGTGAACTTTTTTAAACAAAAAATAATGCATTATTATTATCAAATTCAAAATTCAAAACTTTTTATACTTTAAAAACAAGTAAAATAATTTTACTATATATTACTATTTATGTAACTTCTTTTAATTTAATTATCAACATTTTGCTAATTATTTAAATATCTACTATACTTATTATACTGTAGTTATAATAATTTTGGTTTAGTATATAAACTTTTATTAGTTTTAAATTTTTTTAAAATTATAACAATTTATAAATTAGTAATTAAATTATTTTTTGTAATGCAGTCAGACCTCATTAGTCAAATCTCATAATCACTTTTTATATAATCGCAGCCTTGTTATAATCACACTATTTTTTAGTCCTAGCTATTATAAAACATATAAATTTTGATCTCTATATAGTTGCAACTTTTTATAACCACCAAATTTTTGTTCTCTGACCTAATGATTATATTAAGGTTTGATTGTATTTAATTTAGTTTATTTGATAAATTCAAAATTATTTAATTTTAATTACTTACTAAAGTTAATTAAATAACCATTTGGTAGTATTATGGTATCTTTTGAATTGTAATACAGTAAACATTTTTTTGATTGTATTTTTTATATAAAAAAAGTTAATAAAAGTTTAAAGAAAAAATATACATATAGTTATATAGCAATAATAATTTTTTATATAATACTATTTTATAAATATAATTTTAGCTATTAAAATTTTTCTTTGCTTTATTTTTTTTACATTAATATCTCTTGCTAATATTTGGTCTGTACTGTATATGTATGTATTTTTAGTCTAAAATTATATTTAGCTATATACAGTAATTTCAATTAATTCATATATAAGTAGAAGAAAGCCAACGGTTTTACTAAATCATACTAGTGTTATTATTACAACAGTTGCTACGTATATCTCAAAAACTAGCTAATTAATTAATGCTAAATATACTAAGTAAAAATGTTTAGCACTTCTAAAAACCTTACAATAATTAAAATTTAAATCTATTACTTTATATTAGAGTTCCTAACCTTAATTGCTATATATATAAAGCTATTAAAGAAATCCATGTGGTATTAGCACCTATGGTGTGATTTAGTATAATTAAAAAAAACAATTATGATATAAATAAAATCTCTCCCAAATCCCAAACATAATAAAATTATCCCAATCTTCAATATAATCCAATAATTTTGCCAACATGTGTACTTTCAGCACAATGAATTTGTCGAAAGCATTTTAGAATGTTAAAAATACTTTTGAGAACTCTTATCCTATCTTCATAAGAGAATGCTCATGTAAATTGGTCAATTTATACATCCATTGACCAATCAAATTACGGATCAAATTTATTACTGTATAGTGATTATATGTAGGCTATATTATAGATTAAACCATTAGCTATCTAACGAGAACCTTCTTGATTTCGAATTCTAGCATAACTAAACAGAGGAATATTGAAGTATTTTGTTCTCTAAATAAAATTGGTCAGGAGTTCCGAAATAGCAGGCTAAAGATTGTTTCCATTAAGAAAATCTTTACCCAAATTACTCGGTTATTCGGTAATTTACTATAGTCATATAATAACAGTTTCCACCCAGATACATCGTTTCCATTAAAAATAATATAGTTTCCGAGATCCACTTCATAATAATTCAATCCGTGTGTTTTTTGATTTTCATAATACAGTAATAACATAATTACATATCAATATGATAATCGTGATACTATTATCTTCATGGTTATCACATTCAGACAATTTTTAGTTAATCGTAAAGATTGACTAATATAATAAAAGAAACTCGATGCGTATTATAGACTTTCATGATTAGAAAAAACAAATTGTTACCCATGAGCGTACTCGAAATACGTAACGCACAAATGCTTGCTATTTTGAGTAATTCTTTGCACAGTAAATATCATCAGAGTGGTAACTTTTTGTATTAGTAAAACATTACATTTCCAAAAAGTACTTTATAAGTTACCCGAGCAATTGATTTACATCAATCAATCAGACAAAAATTCTCCTCTCCCTCATAAAGGTGTGATCTGATTTGATTTTTTTATATCTTAAAAGAATCTCCTATATCGTAAAACTGTATATAACACGTTTACTATACTCGTTAAAATTACATTACTGAGAAAACACTAGTTTAAATCTACGACTTAGTGCCAGCCAGGTAATTTCATCTACATATGCTACTACTGTTGGCCTTCATCTAAGATTCTAGATCTTTTTGTATACAGAGTGTATGTACACGGGTAATATAGAGCCCAACTAATATCTCTAACCATAAGCTTAATTTCTGTTGGTTTGAACGCCGCCTGTGTATAAACATTACGTATAAGCTAATAAATTTTCTTTTTTTGATTTTTATTTTCCTCTGCTATCCTGAAGGTTCTTAGACACATTAGGATCTACCACATCTTTAAGGCCAGGGTTATAATACCATACTCATGAATAGGGATGGATTTGGTCACAATTATTCATAGCCAATTTGCTAAATACTGAGATAATTTTTTACTTTTGAGCTGCTAATTAAAGTTGTTCAGAATTAAATTCTGATTATTCCTCATCTTATAAGTGAAAAGAACGATACTTTCTTTGAAACTCGGAATTTCAAAATATAGAAGAGTGCCAGTAGAAACCAAAAAAATTGTTTTTAGTAAGTTTTTTTAAAATTTTAAAGTAAAACATCTCAACAACTATTAAACAAACTTAGTAAATTTTTTATTTTTTTTCAATTTTATAACTATATAAAATTAAAATAAAAAAATTTTATCAAATGATATTTTACTTTAAAGTTTTAAAAAAAAAATTATTTAGAAACAATTTGCTTGGTTTCTACTGGCACCCCCATATATTAATGCCATGACCGGTTTTAACCGTCGGTCATGATGCTTCACTACTTCTCACAAGAAGTAGACTGCTTGTTTAACTAACAAAAGATAATTATTAATAAGCGTTTATTAGTTATTGTAAGTTTATTAAGTTTAACACAAAAAAGTAATTATGATAATTCTACCCGATGTATTAAAAAGACTAAAAAATGTGAAAAACAAATAAAACATTTAGGTATTAAATAAAAAAAACAAGTTTATTTATGAACTATCCTTCTCGTGATTGGTCAATCACATGAAGTTGATTATCTTTTTATAATACCGATACGTCGCGCTTTTTTGTAATACAAACACACACGTACGAAAAAAAAGAAAACGCGAAAATATTTAAACACCTTTGTATGCTAATAACAGAAATAAAAAAATTGACATATAGTAAGTAATAATAATTTACTTATATAGCCTTTAAAGCTAACATAATAGTACTCTTGGTTTATGCACTGCTTATATGAGAGAAAATTTACCTCATGAGTTTTAACTAGAATTGCTAGTAAAACTAAATAATGAGGGTAAAACTGATGACTATCTAAAATTTGATTGGCTGTTATATTAAATTTCACCAGTTCCATCGCCATTCACCATCATTCACCATCATTCACCACCAACAACTCTAATTTTAACTCATGAAGTGACACGATCTCGTGATATAGTTAGTGGTTGGATTTAATGATTTTAGGCTCTTATTAACACAAAACAACCAGTAAATAAAAAGTTATTCACTGTTAAAAATCAAGTAAAATGCAGGCTAGATTTATATTAAATTGACCAAAAAAATCAATTTGAATAGGCACGTTAATGATCAATCAATATATTTTATATGAAAGATAGATGTGTCAATCACATTGGATAAAAATATAAATAGGGATTGGAATCGACTAATTAGTTGATTAAACATACAGTAGTAATTTATTATATGGATTTTTTTAGTCAAATATGTATAAGATCCTTCGGGATAATAAAATGAAAGAATACATCATTATCATTCTAATAAAGCATCTTACAAATTTATTAGTTTAAATATAACTTTTATATTCTTTTGTAATGTAAAGCGAATATTAATTATTACAGAACTTAAAACCACTTATTACTACTTTGTTGAGGTTGTTGAGGTTGTTGAGGTTGTTGAGTCTGTTGTTGTTGTTGCATTAATTGTTGATTTAATTCACCAAATCGTTGCCCCACCCGTTCATTATGTTTTAAGAATTTATCGGCACAACGGTTAATACATGTTTCCTATAAAAAAATTTGATTATTAATTATTTTTTTTTTTTCAAGAGGATAATTTTTTTATGAATTTCAAAAGTTAATAATATTTCAAGAAATGAATAAAAAAAAAAAATTCAAAGGATATAAAATTTTAGTTACCTTACCTCTTTTGAAGTTAAAGCTTTTGAAGTAAAGTCATTAATGCAATCATTAAAACATCGTTCAACCAAATTGGTGTAAAATTTTAAAAAGTCTCGCATCTTATTAAATTATTTTAAAGTAGAATTCGTGAAATTATTGAATATGAATAATTATTTAAGTTTAATTTTATACCTGTTTTTGTTCAATTATTCTCTGAATTTGTTGCTTTTCAGCATCATTGTACATTTGAAAATCCATTATTTTATTTTTTATATATATTTAAAATGACTTAGTGAAAAGGTATAGAATATGTATAAGGAATAACTAATCATTACACACTGTTAATATATATCGATTTAAAAAATTATATCTATGGATATTATTGGTGGATCTTTTTTTTTTTATAGTTATCTGTCGATCAGTATATCAGTATTTACAGAAAATAACGTACAAGTATTTTAAAATAAAATGGCTAAAGTAGCTGCAAAAACAGTTAAGAACGTTCAAATAAAATGTATGGTTCCAGCTGTTAAAGCAACACCTTCACCTCCTATAGGACCAGCTTTAGGTCAACGTGGTGTAAAAGCCATAGACTTTTGCAAACAATTTAATGAGCGTACTAAAGATTACGAAACTGAAACTCCAATTCCAACAATCATAACAATAAAACCTGATCGTACTTTCACGTTTGTTACAAAGTTACCACCTACAACATGGTTTTTAAAACGAGCAGCCAGAGTTGAGAAAGGTGCAAGTAAACCTGGCTCAGAAATAGTCGGAAAAATTAGTCTGAAACATGTTTATGAAATTGCACTGATTAAACAGCAACAAGACAATATGAGAGATATTGGTCTGAAGGGCATTTGTAAAAGTATTATTGCTACAGCTAAGTCTGTTGGAATTCAGGTTATACCGTGATATGGTTAGTGGTCATATATCAATTTAAACGATTAGTAATTGTTTAAACGATGGCACTCTTAGACTCTAAATAAAATATTAGATTCGTACTTTATTTACTAGAAAATCAGCAATCAGATATCCAAAATGAAGATTATCAAACTATTCAAATATATTCGATGTGAAATTAGATGGTACACAAGTAGAACAATAAATCTTTTTCATAAATATTCCTTCAAAAAACCTTTGATGTAATCTGCAACTTTCCCATATTTTCTAAGTTCTTTCCATATGTAACTTAAAATGCTTAGAAGATATTTGGAAAGGTTCCATGTCACATCAAAGATTTTTGAAAGAATACTTGTCAGAAAGGTTTATTGTTCTACATGTGGTAGTCAATTTGGATATAGAAATAATCAGGATACGAAGAAAATTTGGGAGATGATCAACCAGAATTGTTAGAATAACTTATCATAAAAAATTCTTATTTTGAGCCAAGAATTCTATCACTGTTTTTTGTTATGTATTTGCCTGTTGCAAAGAAATACTACTATAGTATTTAACATTTCACGTGATAAATATTTATTCATACTCGCGGGTCTTTTACTACCCGATACATGAAATTAGTTTTTCATGTTTACTGAAATTATTAATATTAAATAATGTTGAAATATTTTTTTTTCAAAAATAACTTAGGCACAAAATCTATAAATCAAGGAGATACATACGCACCTTGAATGGTAAAATACGTCTTTAAAAAGAGGGCGTCATTGTGTATCGAATGTCTTAAAATAAAATAAAAATTGTTTAAAATTCATGTGCAGAGCAAAAAAGATACTGCATACCCGAATCTTATAGTGTTATACGTACTATATAGTTATCGTTTATTGACACTTAAATATCCTTTGGTCAATGCACCATTTGATTATCGATGATTATCAATTAGACAATTGATAAACAAAAAAAAAAAAAAGTCATGACAGCTGATTACCCTGATTACTGTAATTATATTACTATAACATAATATAATATTATCGCGCTTAAAGAAAGCGCTACCATAAACTTATGAGTTTTCATAATTGATCGTACACATGTCGACATCTCGGCAAAGTCTAATAACTTCCGCTGTAAATTTTCTTAAAGATCCAAATGTTCAAAGTTCTCCTCTACAAAAGCGTGTAGCTTTTTTAGAATCTAAAGGTTTAACTTCCGAGGAGATCGAAGAGGCATTGAAAAAATCTAAAGGTGATGATATCTCTACCAATGCGTCCGAAGTTGCTCTGCCAAAACATAATCAGGCTAATGTCCAGTCAAGCGGTCAACCTATAGTCATACAACCACCTCCAGTTCCAAGAATGGACTGGAAAGATTATTTCATTGCTGCTGTTTTTATTGGTGGTATTGGTTATGCGATCGTTGCTGTCACTAAGGTTTGTTTTATTTTTTAATTTTTTTTAATTTCTTTTTTATTTATTATAATTTGGTTCTTTTCGCTTTTTTTTTCTCAGAAATATATTACTCCTCTTTTGAGGTTACCAACTGCTGACGAGCTTGATCGAGACAAGCAACTTCTTACTGATCAATTCACAACTGCTTCTGAAACTCTGGACACTGCCAAACTTGATATCCAACTTGTTAAAAAAAGCATTGAAGAACAATCTTTTAAAGTTAGAGAGGCGTTAGAAAAATTGGATAATTTGTTGAAAAATTTAAAGGAACATGAAATAAAAAAAGAAGCAGAACTTAGAAATATAAAAGAAGATGTAGACACAATACGAGACTTGATTCCAAAGGTATATTCTTCTTCTTTATGTCTATTATATATTACATGTTACTTTACCTATTTAACTTTATTTTATTTTTTGTTTCCAGCTACTTGAAAAAACAAAAGAATCTCAATCCCAATCCCTAAGTGATTTACAACAAGAACTCAAATCATTAAAATCTCTTCTTGCAAATAGGCGAACTCTTTCTAATGATGTATTACCATCGTCTCCAACTTCAACTCTTACTCCAACTTCTCCCATTGTTCAATCTATATCTTCTCATCATGGAATTACTTCTGATCGTCCAACAATTCCAACCTGGCAACTGACTTCCACTGCATCAAAGGACCCTCTAGATTAGTCATTGTAACCAATTCAAAGTTTTTTAAGTTTTTAAATAAAAATATCTATAATTTGTGTATTTATTTTGGATCCTATCAAAGGCGCAACCATATTTTCATATTATCCTAGATGGGAATAAACCTGATTTATCCCTGTCATTCACGTAACATAACTTTCATATACTTATTTTAGAGCGTAATCTTTATTGACATTCAAATTTAAATTGGATAATGCAATCCTTATGCTCGGTCTCCTAAATTAAATAGTTATATGTTTAGTAGAAATAAGTATATGAAATTTTTATGTGTATATGGGTTTACCGTGGATAGAAAAAGTTTTGTTCTATAATCCGAAAACTCACACTAACCATGCTCGTATTTTACTGCACCGTTCTGAAATTATTGTACCTTCCCACTTATCTTGTTTTACATTATTTTGCCTTTCTATTCTCACATCAATAGAGCTCGACATTTCATAATTTATTTTTATTTTTTTTGTATATAGGAAGAAACTACATTTAATTATTCAATTCTGATTAGCTAAATTATATAATTCATAACAATATCAAATAAGTCTAATATTCATGACTTTAATATTTTTGCTAATATCTATAATTTCAATATCTTGCTTATACACTGGCGATCATAAATAATGCAACAAAAAAAAAAATTTAGTTGGATCGTATTATCTCACGCAATTCCGGGCGTATTTGTTAAATTTTTATTTTATTTTATTCACAAATACTATCTTTTTTAAATAGCAAAATTTTAATAGTCGTTATTATTACCAATGCGAAGATAATTGTGAATTTATTATAAATCACGTGTTGCATTATTTTTGATCGTTTTTGACAAAGATCAGATCGCGTGAGTTGTGTTACATAAATACATACAAAAATGTAAGTTTCATTATAGATTCTGCATCTTGTGTAATATTAGAATTGCTTATAAATCAAAAAAAAAGAACTATACAACCTCTGCCCAATAAGCTCAAATATTGCTTTTCTTTCAAAAAGTTTATATCATAAGAGCAGTTGGTCAGGTTCATTATATTAACTTTTTCACAGTCTTGTGAACTAAAAAAAAGTGATTAGCAAATCACACACTTGAAGATTTAGGAAGGGTTGGTTATTCAACTTCATTGGATAAATCAATCCAAAAAAGAATAGTAAATTTAATTATTTTTTATTACTGTTCTATTATTATTAAAATAAGGATCTACTTTAAAATAAATGAAAATATTAAAATTTTGATGTTTACTATTTGTCAGATGTTTTGAAATTATGGTTTAGTATTAGGAATAAAAAAAAAAATTTTTATTTGAATAATAGTCATTAAATAATATAGTTTACTTTTGCAAAAAATATAAAAATAAACTGTCAAAAATTGGTTCAAGATAATTTGGTTGAATTAATTAAGGTTTTAAATTTTTGGATTAGATGATAAGCAGTATTATTAGAAATGTTATAAAGAATTATTAAATCAGTTCTATATTAAGTCTACTGTAAATATAGTAACAAATCTATTATGATTTAGGATTGCTTTATTTCTTGTAATGTTGGTAGTTATTGTAAGATTAACAATATGATTAATACAGATCTGTATCTTCAAATATTCTGTAAAGATTTGATATGAACAATTGAGAATTATGGATTTAAAGTTAATGAAATTGTTTTTAATAAGATAAAGTATCTTATTATATAACAATTTTGATCAAATATTAGTTTATAAAGAAAAAGGTAAAGTTTTTTAACAGGTTTCCCCAATTGGCTGATCTAAACTCAATCAAATACTTGTGAAATAAAGTTGATCATTATCTTAATGATCTTTCTAATTAAATTTCAAGTGAAAAAGATCTCTAAGAAAAAATCAAATGATTTGGCAGACAATTGATATTGAAATTTGCATAAGCTTAATTTATTTAATATCAGAATAAATCTGTGATATAATTAAAACTCAGTGTAATTACATCAAATGGTAATGACTAAAACTTATTAGAAAAAAATTTTTTTTTATATAAAAAAAATTTTTTTATTTTACAATCACATTATTGTTAAAATGAATAAAAATAATACAATATATATATTAAAGCTTATATTTTTAAAAAATTTTGATTATTAAATTTTTAAATCTTTTTTATTAATAATAATATTGTTATTTATAAATAAAATAAAAAAAATTTAATAAATACATCCAAAATTGTATAAAATAATATGATTCAATTAAATTTTTTTTTGTTGTATTATTTATGATTACTAGTATACAATGCATTATTCTAAAACTAATTCTAACAAAACTAATAACCTTCTATAACTATTAACTAATTGATTGACTTCTAATAAAAATATTATTTCTAATTAATTATATAATTTTTTTATTTCTAATTAAATTACAAAATTTTTTTTTTTTTTTTTTTGCTCTTAAGCAGGCACACTAGTACTTTATTAAGATTCTTGCAACTATATACAATAACTACATAGAATTTTCCTAATAACTAAGTCCAGCA